AATTGGGAAACGCTCATAATAATTAGTTAAGCTGGCTAAAAACCGAACGGCAAGTGCTCCATAAATAGAAAAAATATTTTTTCTTTGTCATTGGATATCGCACAAGCTAGAACAATTAACGGTATGCTATGTGAATGGTGTTCGTATTGTTAACGTATGGAATGTTAATGAATGCTTATTTTGATAGTGAACTAAAAATACCACAATACTCAGGGTTGGTTTCAGACATTTTTAAATGCATTTCATAAAGCATTCCGTTTTATTATTATTAAATTATATGAAATCCAACAGTTTTAGCCAGAAAAAGCGATTGTAGTGAATTAGTACAATTTTTTATTAGTTGTAACGTCAAAGTTTCCAACTCCAACTATATTAGTTTTTTTTGTACTACGCCTTATATATAAAACCGTTAATTATTTATATATTTTGTGACAATAGAGATTTCAATAAATGCACTTTTTTCTCTAGTGGTGTATCATTTGATAACGGCAAAATTAATAGGCCCTGTCCAGATTTCACCCTGGCAGCAAAAGGAGACGTTAACTGAAATCTTTACTTTACTTTTTTTTAACAAAATTACATCTAGATAAAATAATCTACTCTACTTAAAAGGCATCAATGATTTCAAGTTTTTTTTTCAAATTTGAAGAAGTTTTAAATGTGCAGGAAATATATTAATCGAAAGATCATAAATATGATCATATTCCAAAAAGTCCGTGTAGATTACACCATCATGGTAATTTTGAAATCAGAAATTCATGTGGATTCAAAAATCATCATCATCATCATTTTCAGCTTATTCAACTACCAAATTATGATGTGTAGCTTCCCTCACATTTAGATACTCTCTATGGTTGAGCCCATTGTTGGGCCCATTGTTTTGCCCTTAATTTCCAAATATTATGGTACCATCTCAAGTCTGGTCTTCCTCCAGGTCTCTTTAATTCGTGGGTACCATGTAATTTTTGTGGTCCACCTGTTGTCCGTCCTTCTTGCCAGGTGTCCTACCTATTGCTACTTGAGTGATTTGATTCTGTGGATGACATCTGTTACTTGGGCCTTTGTCGTATCCACTTTTATTCTTTTGTCTTTTACGGCCTTCTTGGTTATTCCCAGCATATTTCGTTCCATTGAGCATTGTAAGACCTGCAGTTTCCTATGGTGTCTGGTTTCATGTCCGCTTCGCATGTATTGGTCATCACCGGCAGTACACATTGATCCTTTTCTCTTTCTTTAAATAAAGTGACATTCTAGGATTTGAATATGATTGGAGTTTCTTCCATAAGTACTCCATACCAACTTAATTCTTTGTTGGTTTCTGGTAGTACAGATCCCGAGTTGTGTAATAGTTGTCCCAAATATATGTATTCTTTGTGCATTTCCAGTGCTGTGTTATTTATTAGAAATCTTTTCTGTTCTACACTTCACTGGTGTGTTGTTGTACATTGTTTAGTTTTTTGCTTTGAACTAAAGTTCATTTTGAAACCCACTTTATTGCTGGCTGTATTCGTTACCTAGGCTCTTTGTAGTTTCAGGGCTATTGGCAATAAAGATTATGTTATCAGCGAATCTTAGATGGTTGTGATATTCTCCATCTACTTTTAGTCCCGTGTTGGTCCAGTCCAGCTGACGAAGATTTCTTCTAGTGTTGCTGTAAACAGCTTTGGAGATATCATGTCTCCCTGTCGTACTCTTTTGTCATTTGGGATCTCTGGGGTTGTTTTATATATCATTACTCCTCAAGGCTTTATTTCTTTTGTATATATTGACGGGAGTTTCTGTATATGGCCAGCCAATACCATAATAATTTTAATATAAAATTAATAAAAGTAGTTTAATATTATATTGTGGTGAGTTTTCACGATGTTCTCTATGGGTATCTTTGAAACTACTGGAGATAGTTGAGTCGGTTAAATGGAGAAAAAACTGCAGTTTTGTGGGGTCATGCGCCTTTCAGATTTTGAAAATTATGGCTTACTAGATACAAAACAGTTTTCGGTTATTTTTAAATTGTCTCATCTCCATTATGTTATTTAGAGAAAAAGCATTGAGTTAAAGTTAGATAATGACATCTTATCGAGAGGTTCTTCCGTTTTTTTCTAGCCTGTCATTTTACATGATTATTAAATATATGTTTTAATGGGAACATAGTTGTCATACCATAAAAGTCATTTGCTTTTTTACGATATAGTTATTAATATAGCCTTTTCGGAAAATACTGTTATAATTTTAACAATTTCTCTTAGTTAGCCATGGAAATAAGTTTAATCGTCTTGCTCTCATAAATGCGAAGCTATTACATCCAAACTTTGTAAATTAAAATAAACAAAATTGTAAATATGAATTTTCAAATGAAGAAAAGCGTAGGATTATTGGTTCAACTTTTCTTGACTATACATTTTCGAGGATACGTTGATCGGTGAATGTTATGTTTTTAAAGAACGGTTTTCAAGACATGTTAGAAAGTTAAATTTAGTTATAGCCACTCTTATTTCTTGGCTAATTTCACTTAGATTGCATGGTACTTATCACGGTATTCATGGTATTATGGATTGTATATTCTTATTCTGTTATGATTTTTAACTTATAAAAAGTCAGAATATATTATTAAAACGGTTCTTTACAATTTACATTACACAAACCAAAAACTTAAAAAAATAATATCACTACATACACTTTTAAGTTATTTTAGAAAACTACACGCTTTTCTCTTTCATTTGAAAAATCATATTTACAATTTTTGTTTATTTTAATTTACAAAGTTTGGATGTGGCAGTTTACATTTCTGAGAGCAAAGACGATTAAACTTGTTTCCATGGCTCTAACTAAGAAAAATTGTTTAAAAATTATAAGAATTGGCTATAACTCAGTAATTTTTCGAAAGACACATATTATAGCTTATATCGCTGAACAGCTTAAAGAATGACGCTTTTTATGAAGCCACGGCCAACTATGGTTTCATTTAAAAAACATATGTTTGTGTCATGTGTCAAAAATGACAGGCTTTAGAAAAAACGGAGGACACAATCCTCATTAAGGATGTGATTATCTGATGCTTATCTTTTAAAACTTTTTGTCTAAAATAGCTTATAATGGAATTAGGGACAATTTTAAAATAGCCGAAATTTATTTTTTTTTGAGATCTAGTAAGCCATGAACTTTTGAAAAATCTGAAAGTCGCATATTTATAATCCCACAAAACTGCAATTTTTTTCCCATTTAACTGACTCTCTATCTCCAGTAGTTTTCGAGATACCTACAGAGAACATCGTGTGGAAACTCCACCCTGCATATCGAGTCGAAAGCCTTCTCAAAGTCTATAAAGACGATAGCTAGTAGAAGTTCGTATATTTTTGTTTAGCTGATAGTTTCTCTAGTGTATGTGATAAATTGTGTTGAAGCCGCTTCTAAAGTCCACTTGTTCTCGTGGTTGTGCAGAGTCTAGCTTGTTTTGTATTCTCGTTGTTTATTATTTTTGTGAATATCTTGTATGTTACTGAAAGTAGGCTTATTGGTCTATAGTTCTTGATTGTCTTCTTTGTTGCCTTTGTTATGAATTAGAATTAATTTTGGCGCCATTCCGGTTTTGCGGTATATGTTTTCTCCTTCTATCGGCGTACTTAAGTATTTCAGCTGTTATTCTGTCGTTCCCTGTTGCTTTTCCATTTTTCATATCTTGAAGCGCTTTTTCTACTTCTCTTACGAGAACTTCTGGAGCGTCGTCTTATGAGAGGGGTAGTATTTCTTCTTCATGTACGTTTTCTGGGACTTTATATAGGTCGCTGTAGAATTTTGTTACCAGGCTTATTATTTTGTTTTTGTCTTTTATCTCTGATGTGTGTTAACAGGGATTAGCTGTTTCTTTCCGATCATGAGGGATTTCTTAGTGTTCTTATAACTTTTTCCTTGTTTTCGATTGCAGTTTGTACTAGTTTTTCACTGTAGTTTTTGATGTCTTCTGCAATCTTCTTTCTCATTGTCTTACATAATTCTGTTCAGCTTATTATCTTTGTTACTTCACCCATTCAAAATATATATCTACGATTAGAATTCTTAATCATAGAATTGTTTTAATTGTCTCACATTAGAAAAAAATGTTTTTTTTTTAATTTAAAACATATATTTTACAATGAGCTGTTATTATCTTTTGCTCTGAAAAAAATCTGTGAACTAGATATAAAATTTTGAACAGGATTATTTGGAATAGTGGGTAACTTTGCAAAAAATAAAAAGTAGATATTTTACTATCAAAATTTAGTAAAATCGTTACATTATAACAAACTATTTTTTGCATAAAAATGATTGAATTATTATTCATATTTTAACGTTGTTACTGTTGATTTTATCTTTTAATAAATCTATTTATGTTCATTATTTTATAAGGTAGCAATAACATATTTATTTTTATTCTGCCATGTTTTTATGTTTATTCGTTTCCATGAATGAGATTTATTTTAATGTTGTATATGATCTACAACTACTACAGTTTAAACTGAAATTATTTATATCATTTTACGGTTCATACGCCAATATTATCTTTAATAAATATATTTTTAACAGTATTTGCATGTCTTTTGAAAGTTTCATATATATATAACTAAATTTATATTATGTAGGTATTAAGCTGTTGCATTTTTATTACGTAAATATGTACATAAATACATTTAGTACGCTATTGTATGCTCAGATTATTTTTTATAAGAATACATAATGAATGTGCAATGCAGATTTAAAGAAGGTCAACTAAACAAGATAATGTTTATACGCTATCAGAGTTAACTGAAGAAAAAATGGTGGAAAAAATGTTTTCTGATCTTATTCTTTTATGTTATTTCCATAAACTGGCTATTTTTATAATTTATAGTCGATACTTTTGAATTTAATATAGAATAAACATTAATTCACTTGGCCATATCAGTTGCTCTAAATTTACTTTACTTTTTACTTACAATACTTAACTTATAATATGTCGTTATATATTCTAATGCTATTTTTTCTAGTTTTCAGATGACTTCCAAACGAGATAACTGTGGCCTTAGTTCCTTGATTCCCCTGTCATGTCGAGACCGTGCCGAAGCCTTCGCCAAAAGCCTACAAACGAGACTTAGTACCTTGGGATCCCAGAACGACTCGGCAGACGAAAGAAGCTGGCTCGGTAACCACGAAAAACCGTTAGCCCTGTCACAACCTTTGCACAATCCAGAAACAGACCGATACCTTGAACTAGAAGCACTCGAGTCACCTTGCAGTCCACAGGAAGAATTAGAAGAAAGAATTTCTCATAAATTATTAAATAATGATAGTTTCAAGACAGGGTTGAACGGTGATTGTCACTGTAAGAAAAACGGCGTGATTAAGCACCATTCTGTTGACAGCGACAGCGAAGTTTTTTACGATTTAGACGATGATCCGCCCACTCAGCCATATACTAACGGAATTGTCCAGTCAGAATCAAGTAAAAGTTTAGAGAGTGAAACTGGTATAGATGTGAACTCAGCTGCGACGTCCAGTAGTAATCCTAGCGACACGTTTGCCACTTCCTTAGATTGTACTCCACAGCCTTCCGTTAGCGATGACCTTTCAACATTAAGCCTCAAGGATGATTGTTCCCAGGTCGAAGATCACACAAGTAAGGAAAACGGTTGCGAGCAATGTAATAAAAAAATAGGAGGATATGGGCAATGAAGAAAGAAGACTGAATTTTAGAAGTAAATGAACAAGTAATGATGAGAACTTCTCGAATGGACACGTGGAATGTTTCGTCAGTAATCTTACTGTTATAAATGAATTAGTAGTGGAATGTCGAATAAATTCAGAAGATGATGCTACTCACGAGCCTCAGATAACGGAAGTTATTGTAAGTAAAAGCGAGGCTAATGGTAATGAGGACGATACGATGATGATAACGATGTTATACCTCGAGTTCGTAGATGTTCGTCATTAAAAACAGGCAAAACCCCACCTGGTACACCAGGTAGAAAGAAAATAGTTCGGTTTGCAGACGTGTTGGGCCTGGACCTAGCTGATGTCAGGACATTTCTAGACGAAATCCCGAAAGTTCCTAAATCGGCCTACGACGATTTGAGCGATGTGGATATCTCGGATTCTTCAGATATCCAAAACGTGAATTGCCTGAACAAATTCGTCGGTGTCTCATCCGAAAAAATCCTAGTTCCATTATTCGAACAGCCTTCCGGATTGCTTAACTTTCTGGATTTGGTCAGGGAGAATCAAGTGTGCTTGGAAAATGCCTTAGTAGATGATCCCGTTCTATTTTTGATAAGGGGAACGGTTAGAGTTAGGAATTTGGATTTCAATAAATCGGTACATATCCGTTACACGTTGGATTCGTGGAAGACATTTGCGGACGTGCAAGCTAGCTATGTTCAAAACTCGTGTGATGGTTTTTCTGATCGGTTTTCGTTCGTGATCTACGCGCACACGTTGACGGTCGGGCAGAAGTTGGAGTTTGCCTGTCGGTTTCAGTGCAAGGGTTGTCAGTATTGGGATAGCAACAAAGGACTGAACTATTGCTTCCAGTGTTTGCCAGCAGCTACCAGTTCGACGACACCAGTGCCGCATCTGAACGATTGGGGTGCCAGCTTTTATTAGTAAGTATCCTTATTTATTTATGGTTTCCTTACTTAGCTCCACACTTACATATTGGAGGAGGGGCCTTTCTTCCTTTATAGAGCGAATCCATTCATCTGTCATATTTCGTTCTTAGCCTGTGTAAAATCACCCATATCTTTTGAGTCTGCTTAACCAGGAGGTACTGCTAAAATACACCTAAAATCAGGACCTTGTGGTGGAACGTTTTCCATCCATTCATTCATCCATTACTCGTCAATATTGCCAGTGTATTAGGTGAGAGTGGTGGTTTTCTTGAGCGGAGTCTGTTAATATTTAAATTTGCTAGGTAGTTCTCGGTTTAGCAATATTTTCATGTATTCTTTATGCAAGTCTTACTTTGTCCTCAGGTTAGGGGGAGGTATATTATTTCTCTCTCCATTTTGAGACATCCACTTTGTTGACGTGGACACTATTCAACCAAATAGGCGCACAGTGTTCGGCCGTTGAGTACACAAGGCTCAAGGCTGATATTCTTCAATCAACGCTGATGCTCTTAGAGTGGATGATGATAATCTTCTGGTGGTGGCGCATAACCTTTTTATTATGTTGTTTGGTGTGCGTATTTTTGCAGCAAGTTTGGTGAGATGGGCCTTAGGAATGATTCTATCTTTAGTTCTATCCAACGTAACTCCTAGATATGTGGGTTGTCTGCTGTGCAAGAGGCGTTTTCCCTCAAAGTATTATCGCAATTTCGTCTATTTACTCGATTTATTACTGACGTTAAAAAAACAAGCTTCTATTTACAGACGTTGGGTTTAAGCTGCCACAAAAACAATGGCGCTCACACCGAACCCTGCGGTAATTTTTTGTTGTTCAGTATTTTTGTTTTCATTAAGCTATTCTTTAAAGATATTCTTTCAAAAACTTCTGATGTTTCCTTAGTAATTAAGATTGATAATAAAGATGAATAGACTTTCGTGAATTCTGATACCATCTTATTTGCAAGTTTTAAAACTTATCATGGTTTCTACAGAAAGGTTCTAGTATTACATATACTCTTTTGCAATGCTCTACAGCCTAAGGCCTGTCTTAAATAGATTTTGAGCGAAAAGACGTATTATTCTCTATGTTTATTGTTACCTTAATCAAACTGTGAAAAAAAACTTAAAAAAAAAAAAAAAAAAAAAAAAAATAATTTATAATTATTTTATGTTATTGTTATTTTTTTCTAATAAAACTTCACCATAATATGAATAATACTCTACAAATCACATATTACTGCAAATTAAAACCATTTTTGTATGATCTTTAACAAAACCTTCAGATATATTACGCCTTAATTAACAACTTCACATGTTAAGGTAGGTCGGGTTACCCACTTTGTTTATTTATCGCTTATAATATTGTCACAATCGAACTGATGATAACTGTTCTAACATATATGTAAATCCAATTAATAATGCATTTGTTTATAGATGAGGGTTAGTTATACTTGATAAAACTTTTTTTATGAGATTGAATCAATTATAAAATGATCAAGAACATCTATTCCATGTAAATCAATATTTAAATTACTTAGTGTGTTCCGACATTAGAAATTATTTATAGGTTTGATAATAATATTAAATCGTAATGTCATATGAGTTAATTGTAATATACTAACTTTACAGGTGTAAAATTCTCAGATATTGTCAGTATTTGTGTTTATTATTCTTCAAATTTATTATTTAACTCGCTCGTTGTCCGAATTTGCAAGAAAATTTAAGATTTGTCTTTAAGGCATATTTAAGCTTAATTTTAATAAAATAGAAAAAAAACATTGAACTTCGTATATTACGTATATTACGTATTTTATATGTAAAAGGCAAAAAATCAGGATAGTTAACGTTCAGTTGACAGCCACACAAGTTTGCTTTAATCAGATTTGTAGTAGTGTAACTGCATCTCTTTTCCGCCGAATGCGTTCTCTCTCTATCGTGTGCGCGAACGGTATGCTTATTACCTTTCCCCAAAAAAAAAAGCGTTTTTTTTCTTTTTTTCCTTTCCCTTTATATTGTTTGGGGGTTTTAAAATTACTAGTAAAAAAGCTCACATTCACTGACTTGCTAACACTATCAGTTAAGTTTAATCAACCAATTTTTGAAACAAACTTTCACTAGTGAATGCTAGATTCACTGATCTTTACGTTAGTCATGCTAGCATTCATAATTCGCTGCTTTTCGAATGACATGTCTCTAGCAAGCTGCCCGCTAACGTGACCTATCATCGGGTATTATCAGGTCCACAGTCGACGTACAGAGAGCTGGAAATTTTGGCAATTTTGTTTGACGTTCAATTTGAAATCAAGACATTCGAAGCAATTCTCAAATTCTGTATTAAAATATAGAAAAAGCTTAAAGAATCACCACAAAAAGGGTAACCAAGGGTATCGACCATTTTATCTTGTTAACGACCATTGGTTAAAAATAAGATCGCAGTTTTCTCTAAATTACTTAAAATTTGTTGTCCAAAACTTCTTCAATTTGCATGTGCATTCAGCATGCGCAAGACCTTTAAAAAACTTACTTACAACTTATTGGTGCCACCTGCTAAAAAATTAAAAGGGGAGCCCAATATCTCGGACTAGTCAAAAATTTTGCAGAAAGATTCCTATTATTCCAATGACGACGCACCACCTGATATCAAATAAGTACCAGTACGTCTGTCCGTTTTGTAACTACGGGGTATCCGTGAGAGGGGAAACGATATCTCTCCGATTGTTTTCGTAAAAAAATAGACGACGCGTTCCCAATGAATAAAAATTCAACAAATTTGCAAATAGCCAATAAATGAGTAGCGGAGGAGATTTCGCGGTGACGCACTCGATCAAATCGACGTCTAAAAAATATCATTGCTGTTTATTTAAAGTTTTTTTTATATTTTTTTCATAGACACAGATCCAGCCAGATGTACTGTAGTTGGTGTTTCATAAACTTTAAAATCGAATATCTAATTTATAAACTTCTGATTATCTGTTTAAAAATGTTAAGAGATAGATCTCTTGTCATTAATTCTAAAAAATAGATATTTGTCTCTTTTAGGATTTTTTATAAATTTAAAAAAAAAAAAAAAAAAAAAAAAATATATTTAATGATTAAATGGTACATAGCATTAACTACTAAAACATCAGACATAAAGATGTAGTTTTTTCATGTTTCGATAGAGGACATATTTAGACAGGAATAAAGAAGGATCTTACATGTGCATTATACAATACCTATAATTAATTTATATAAGACAATCAATTTGATTTTAATTGTGGCACATTGTGTTCCTTCGGGCATTGTCAAGACATTAAATCTATAAATAACTAAACATTGTATTATAACATCAAATAGGTTTTCGTTTGAAATATTTCACTGTTTTGCAATTTTTTATTAAAAAAGACATCATCTCACTACCGCACCGGTCTGTGTCGGATCTAATTTTAGGTTCGCCTACCTTTAGCTCGACTTTTTAACTCGTATGTAATGACCGTGTTTTGTATTGCGGGTACTGCCTTTAGCTGTTACACACGTGATGATTAAATAATAAGGAAATATTCTGAAGCCTGGCAGTTTTAAGGAATTTTTCCAGGATGCAGCAGTTTTGTCTCTTTTTCTCTCTTAATTTCCTAAATTTGTTCTCATCTTCTTACGATATCTCAGCATTTTTCAACTTTATTCTACCTTTATTCCTCTCTTGTCTATATTTCTTTTATTGTGTCTTTCCTTGTTATTTGCGTTGACTCTATTTTGTTTTTGTTTTTTTTTAATTTTGTAGCTCCACCTTAGTTCTCGCTCTGGTATTAATATGTTTTGGTACATTTTTATCAGTTCTTCTGGCTAGGTTGGTAACCTGTCCAAATAATTGCTTAATAATGCTTGGGAAAAATTATTGGTTCATTTTTTACAAGGTTTTAATTTATTTACCCTGTACGTTGGGTCAAATCTTGCGAGCTGAATTAAAACCACTTTCTGACGTTCAATTGTTTGAACTGTTTCAAATTTGAATACTTTTTATATGCCGTATCTTCCATGATAATGCAATATTATTAGGTTACCTTGTTCGTTTCGGCATCTATCTTAGCCCTATAATATATTTTATAAAATATTTTACTTAGGAAACCTAAAGTATGTACTAGGACGTATTCAGGAAAATATTTTAAATCTATCTGGTGGTGGCTCAAAAAGGAGTGAGTGGATCCCCATGATTTTTTTAAATACGACACCTATGTATTTATTATTTCATTTTTTTTTTTTTTTTTTTTGTTTTTTTACCAATTTTTGTCAATCCTAAAATGATTATTAAATGTATGTATTTTGATGTTTCAGAGACAATAAACAAAGTTAAAAAATTTATTTTTAAAGGGCTTCTGGAAATCCGGACAGTGACATCTGAAATCCGGACAAAAACCGAGTTCGCAAAAAAGAAACTATAAATTATTATGAACTTTTAAAGGGACATTAAGAAGGGAATGCTCTAAGCATTTCTTCCATAACCGCACACTTACGTTTCGGTATTATTAAATACTTTTTATACGGGGTGCGCCTCAAAACTTGGTCACGTCCCTATAATTTTTTTTTATACATAAATTAGGATTGATTGACGTAGACAATTCTTTTTGTCACTTCGTGTTTCACTGGAAATGACTAAGTACTTTTGATGTTTAAATGGCATCCACGTTATATTTTTACTTTACTATTCTCAATCGAATAGATACCCGGAATACATGACATATCATATGTCAACGTTTTGAATTTCGGCATATGGTTTATTGTGAAATTGTAGCATGCGATTCATAACGAAAACAGAACTAACAATATAAAAAAAAAAAAAAAAAAAAAAAAAAAAAAAAAATGCATTTTCTAAATATGATAATGAGCCACCCTCGTTCTGTTTGAAAAAATGAGATATGATTAACATTAGACGATTGATTGACTTTGACAGTTGACATATGATTAACATTGACACAAAATTGAGATTTTTGCTTAAAACAAATTGTATTTTAAATTTCAATCTAGAAGTGCCATGGCTGCTTTAAAATACTCAATTTAGTCACAAGGAGCCATGAAAAAAATTGATCGGTCTAATGTTTTTAGTGTCTCATGTCCTGGCCGGTTAAAAGATGCCAAATCGTAGACTATTATTAGTCATATCTCAATTTTCAAATGGAACGAGGGTGGCTCTATTAATTATTTGGAAAAAAAAACATTTTTTTGCGAAAATTTGATACCACAAACTTGATATTTCGAGTCAAAATTGTCGTTTATGATCGCATGTTGCCCAGCAATTTCAAATAAACCATATTCGAAAGAAGTCAAAAGTTGACATGATGATATGTCATTCTTATTCGCAGTGTCATTTTCTATCGGAAGTAAAAGCTAAAAATATTTTAAACACAAAAAAAATAAAAATCCAAAAAGTTTATTCATTTCCCGTGAACAAACAGGAAGTGACCAAAAACAATTGAAATACATTTTCAAAAAAAAAATCCTAATTTATGTCATACACTAACATACCAAAATCTTGTTTGTTTTTTCTGAAAAAATAATAAGTTATAGGGGTGAGTACTTTTGAGACGCCACCCGATATATTTATAATTTAATTTTTTTTTTTTTTTTTTTTTTTTTTTTATTTAAATATTATAATTATATCGATTATTTTAAAAAATATTTACTAAGATACAGTATCCAATATTGTGTTAAGGCACCTTCACCAGATTGTCATGATTTTTTGCAATAACACAAGATACAGACATTTTTTTACTGCTTGCTAATCTGTAGACATGTATATCAGCTTCTCAGAAATGAAACAAAAATTTCAAAAAACCAATACCAATTTTTAAATAGCTTAATAAATTATTGTTAAATTTCTGATTTTTTCAGGAGCTTTAAGACGCAGTGGAACGCAACCCCAACAAAACAAGATGCAGCGGAAAACCTGTTTCTGGCTTCGTAGAGAAGAGAATCAAGCTGTCAAATAGAGAAAAGTAGCCAAAATCGAAGACTGTATCCGCAATTTTGTGAGGCAATAATATGGCGCCACTATTATACAGGCGCGTTTCAAAACTATTTTACGAAATTTTCAAAAAACAATTTTTTTTTTAAAAAAAAAAACTCAATAAGCTGTAATTAGAACAGAGCCACAATTAAACGACAAAATTATTAAACTCTCGTTGTGTGTTGTCTTGTTTCGTTTTGTTATCATTATTTATTTTTATACTTACCAGAGTCAATAATATTAATATCTCAACATATATTTACAAGATAGTATTTTTACATTCACGACGGATTTGTAAATATAATACAACATTAATTTAAATTTCTTAATATAAATTTTATACGTCATCATTTTTTTAATATACAGGGTCTCAAAAAATAGTAATAAATACTTCGGTGGGGATTCTACAGATAAAACGAAAACAAAAAGTTCCTATGAACATATGTCCCAAAATGCTTTCCGAAGAAATTACAACCCTCGAAAGGTGAAGTTAGGTTAGGTTATATTAATAAAAATAAAATATATTATTTTTATTAATATATTTTATTTTAAAGAACATTGGTAAACCGTTTTTCTTGAAATTTGGTACTCTTACACGCATTTTAATGCCAAAAGTACAAGCGAATGGCGATAGTGTAAAATTCCGTAACAGCCTTGGAAGAGTACTTTCCATTAGGGTAAAGGGTACTACTGGTGGTACTTCTTTTATCCTTATAGATACAGTAATTTCATTAAATGAAAATTAAAGCTAGACCTTTTTTATGTAAAAATGGTGCTCTTCATTGATCTCGAAACAGTGAACGGTTTTCAAGACATTTGTGTTTAAAGGTTCCGCTGCATCGATTTTATCATTAGCGAAATCACGAGATTAATTTATTTAAAATTTATTTACATTTTATCATTTCACTAATACCAAAATCGATGCTTCCTAATTTTTAAACGCAAATATCTTGAAAACCGTTCACCTTTTCGAACTAAACGAAGAGCACCTGTTTTAGGGAAAAAAGTTCTAGCTTTTTATATCTTATATGTTGAAATTACTGTATATCTGGTGATTAAAAAAAACAAATATTTAATACTTTACTATCAGAATATAAATGAAAATAAAATAAAAAGTCTTGGTCCTGACCCGGATTCGAACTCTAAATCATCGGTTCGTAGTCTGGAACTCTACGCACTGCGCTATGCGCATGCTGTTCTAGAGAGCATAGTAAAAAATATATCAAAGAGCCAGACGTCTTAAAATACTTGTTTTTCCGACGTTGCTAGCTCTCGTACTATATGTTCATAGGACCTTTTTGTTTTATTTTTTTTTTGTAGAATCACACACCAAAGTTAGATACACTATTTTTTGTCACCCTGTATAGGGACGATCCCTATAAATGGGAAATCGTAATTTTAACTGCACCATTATATAGAAATTAATATTGAATTACCCGGGCATGTATTTATAAAATTACAAATACAATCTACCGTATGATCGAAAAAAAATGGCGTCCAGTTGGCTAGGAAATGACGATCGATGACATTTCGCATATAAATTTACATATAAAATGACAGCGATCTTCATTTCCCAGCCAACTGGACGCCGTTTTTTCTCGATCATACGGTACATATACGTAATGTTAGATGACATAATATTTATGTTCAGAACATTTAAACTCAACATGGCGAATCAATGCATTTAAGGAAACTTCAGAACAATCTGACTACTTTCCGTGCAATGACTGTCAAACGAGAGCATCCATGACGGCGACAGTTGTTATCCACGGTTGTTATCATCTGTCATTTGTGCCATTTTTTGGATATCGTTTGTCGCAATTTTCCGACTCATTGGACAGACCTTATCGTTATATGAATTAATTTATGTTTAAACTCAATTTTATTATATTAATTATGGAAACAGATATATATTTTTTTGAATAAAACTCATTAAATGGCGGTACTTTCGGAAATACCGGAAGTTGACAAGATGTTTATATTACAGTTGGGGGTTGGAACCTTTGGTGTTATTTACACCAAAACACTTTTACTTTTACATGGGACGCGCGGTTCGCTAACCATATTAGCATCATCAGCAGATAATCAAGACTGTCAGTCTTGATCATAGTGTTTTATTTTGTTAAGATGTTTATTGCTATACGCCCTTATTTCTTATTTAAGATTTAAATAACCTAGAAAATATAATGAAAAATATACAGCGTGCAAAAAAATTTTACGTATGAGGTGATTGATATCAAAATTCGTCAAACTTTAGAGGAAATTCAAATATATAAAAAAGTAAATCCTGGTATCCATTTAAAATAAGGTAACTGCTGTCAACTTTGAGTATTTCCAGAGGTGTTATCATATTAAAAATATTTTAATCAAGAAATTGCATTGTATAACATTGCACAAAGCTGCAAACTAAGTATTTCTGTTCTTGAAATTCCTACTGCACGCTCATTCAGGCACACTCTGTATATAGCATTTGATAATCATTTGTGGTAACATAATTATTTAAGGTCCTATAAAATTAATAAATTCGAAGCAATAAAATAAATGCTGTAATATTCCAGTATTATCCCCACTAAAACAATAGTTACAGTCAAAATACCTTATAATCGAAAAAAAAAACGGCGTCAGCGATGGGTATGAAATGAAGATAGATGTCATTTTATATGTAAATTTATGTGGGAAATGTCATTGATCGTCATTTCCCAGCTAACTGGACGCCGTGTTTTTTTCGAACATACGGTATATGTTTTATATAAGACGCTACTGGGTCATTACTGAAACCAATATCTCAGTCGGATTTAGCCACTAATAAAAACACTTAGATTTTTTCTATTAGTGCAAGAAGGCGTTAACTAACAAATTTAAAATTTTGAGAAAATGAAGATATTTCTTTCATGTTTGGAACGTTATATATAGCAAAGAGTAGATAAGACAAGAGACGACAGTTCGCGCGGTACCTTTCATGTTTGAGTGGTGGGGAGAGTGACCTCGTCTCGCTTGTCCCTTTAAATTTTCGTAATTTTTTCGCGGGAAATTTGAAATAGACTATTATTAAAACTTGCCTGTATTTCTTATAAATAGTTACTGTATGGGTAAAGAAATAAATAGAAACGAAAAAAAAAATGAGTTTTCTAAATATTATATAAAATAAATTATAATTAGAAACATATTTGTCGGGGGAATAAAGATAGTAAAAGCAATATTTTGTATATCGTTGGTAAACAAGAGAAAGTGACCAAGTCGATTTGTAAGAAATATTTTATATACGTCTATTTTTTTTACATATGGGCTTGAACAAGTGTAATATCACAATGTGGAGTTTATGTACAAAAAAATAGAGTTGCTCAATTTTTATTTAATAAATCCTCGCGAATACAAGCTTCTGACCATGTCTTCGATCTATGGATTACATTTAGTTTAATAACATAATTATATAGTATATTTCTATAAAAATACTATTTTTACAGTCTTTATAAGCACACACATTGCCACCATCTTGTCTTTTCCTGCTACTCGTGTGTCCTGTTCAGTATTCATATTTAACAATAATTACAAATTAATACGCAATAAAAACGATACTAAAATTAAACCTTAAAAACTCTCAAAACGATAATATATCGAAAAACTCTGAAAACACACTTTAAAAAAGGCAAAAATGCAAGAAAACAACTAATCAGATTTGTTTATGTTCAAGCCTGATTAGCACAGCTGATTAGCGTCCTAAAATCATAGGTTAGAATAAATAAAATACGCCGTTGTCAGATTTTCAGATTTTATCTGTTTATCTTTGAAATCGATCAACTTTTTAGTAATTCTGTTTCTTTGATATTATCAGTACATTGCGAAAAAAGAACCTAAACCAACCTAAACTAAAAATCTACATTTCCGTATTAACATACGTTACTTATATCCTTCTTATATTATTAATTCATTTTCAGAAAATCTTGTTTATTTTTCAAAGAAATATACTTGGCAACAGACAAAATGGGACTTGATGGGACCTTTAAATTTTAATATATCTGCGCCTCTCTCGCGAAATTCGACCTCTTTGTTCACTGTCGTCTCTTGTCTTATCTACTCTTTGTATATAGTAAGTGTAAACCTTGTTTATATATTCTTAAAGTTGGCCAACCTCTCGACAAAATGTGCTGCCTCTGGTGAACAAATCGTGAAGCTTTAAAAGGAATGAAACATGTGATTAGGGGCGGAGTAAAAAATATCGATTATTTGCGGTATTTCCCTCAGAGTAATGTAATAATATAGCTCGGATTTTTGCGAACTATAATAGGGCTCAGCTGATTAAGAAATTTAAACAAAACTATTATTTCATTATTGATTTTCGATTATTTTTGCGGTTATTTTAAGGATTCTAAACCGTATTAACAAAGAAATTATTATTTCAATATGTTGGTACATTTGCTAATTACTGGTAATTATTAATATTTAAAAAAAGTTACATACACTTACTTTATTTCGATTTGACACAGGGCTATAAAATTTTATTTCATTCTTAGAACATTTTATTCTAAATTGAGGTTTTACGAATTTACGATAATTTTTTTTTTGAAAACAAAACTTTTATACATTCTTGATTAAATTTTTTCTTATTAAAAATAACACTGGGCACTTGCTTCAATAATATTATTTGACATTTAAATAAATATTATGTAGATACTTAATATACCATTTAAATCTTTATTACACGAAATAAATCTTTCTTAGCGTAAAACATGATCAGTCAAGTTTGCTTTAACTTTGTACCATATGAAAAAAAAAACGGCGTCCAGTTGGCTGGGAAATGACGATCGACGACATTTCCCATATAAATTTACATATAAAATGACAGCGATCTTCATTCCATAGCCATCGCTGACGCCGTTTATTTTCGATCAAGAATTATAGAAACTGAAAATAGCATCATGTTTTAACTTACAAATCCCGTTAAACCATAAAACTTTCTAGTATATTGTTTTATTAGGAGTAAAAATTACATTTTTCGTGCATGCATGGCGAGGCTGTACGTTTGACATACAGCCGAAGCACAAAAAGTCATTTTTACTCC